CCATGGAGGGGCTTACATTGGCTGGAGTTATTCTTGACACAATCTGTTTTTTAGTCCTGAAGTCATTCTGGCTGTTTCTAAAGTTGCTCAAACACCTATCAGTGTGGTCTAAACTTAAGGCACCACAGCATGGTTTCCAGGCAACTAAAACACAATGAATTATTGGCCTTAGGATACCCATGGGCTTGATTCCCTTTTCCTCAAAGAATGGTGAGAAACTTTTAATTCCAAGTCTTAGGGCTTCAAGGCATTTGTAAATAGATCTATGAGTTACTGCTTATAGCTGGGTGCTAAACTGTGTACTTTTGCCTAAGTACTAAAATGAGAACTAAGGTCTCCTGCTTTATATCTCTTTGTTTATAATTTACACTAAAGGCTGGGCACAGTGGCTGGTACTTCTAGTCCCAGCATTTTGGGAGGACGAGGCAGGCAGATGGCAAGGTCAGGAGATCGAGACCATCCTGACCAACATAGGGAAACCCTGTCTCTACTAAAAGAACAAAAAAGAAAATTAGCTGGGATGGACACAGTGGCTTAAGCCTGTAATCCCAGCACTTTGGGAGGCTGAGGTGGGTGGATCACGAGGTCACGAGTTCAAAACCAGCCTGGCCAACATGGTGAAACCCCCTCTCTAGTAAAAATTCAAAAATTAGCTGGGCGTGGTGGTGGGTGCCTGTAGTCCCAACTACTTGGGAGACTGAGGTAGGAGAACGGCTTGAACCTGAGAGGTGGAGGTTGCAGTAAGCCGAGATCCAGCCACTGCACTCCAGCCTGGGTGACACAGTGAGACTCTGTCTCAAAAAAGAAAAGTAGCTGGGCATGGTGGTGTGAGCCTGTAGTCCCAGCTACTCGGGAGACTGAGGCAGGAGAATTGCTTGAACCCAGGAGGCAGAGGTGGCAGTGAGCCAAGATCATGCCACTGCACTCTAGCCTAGTGATACAGCGAGACTACGTCTCCAAAAAATTTTTTCTGACACTAAAAATAAATATTTAAAGAACTATTTAATACACAACATATAGATTTTTTTTTAAGAGAGAGATGCCTCTAACTGGCATTATACAGTTGAGATCTGATTTTTCACTGCAGAGATTATCTGTATGGCCTGACTCAGAACTGACCCAGTTAAAAATCAAGTCTAAAACAAAGTCTGCTCCTGATCCCCAGTATTTGCCTCCATTATGCAAAGTACTTTACTCTCTTTCTGACTCCAAGAATAACAAACAGGTTAGAAGGAACTTGGCTAAAGAAAGAGGACACAGAGTCTCTCTGTTCCTGTTTCTCTTCTTCATTTGGCTTGAGGTATAAATCTGCTTCCAGAGCAAAGCTGACTTCCGTAGGGAGCAGGCTTCTGCGTAGGTGACGTTGGAAGAAAGAAAGTAGAAGTAGGATGAGGAGAAGGAGAAAGAAGAGAAGAAGAAGAGGGAGAGGAAGAGGGAGAAGGAAGAAGAAAAAAATAAGAAAGAAGAGAGAAGAAAGGATCCAGTAGTTTCTAGGTACAAGTTCATTTATGAAGACATTTAGTGCTCACAATAAAACATAAAATATGTTTTAAAGGGAAACCCATGAAGCATACACAGCAGCAATGGAAGAGAGAAATGAGAATCAACTCACAATTGAAGAGAAAGGAAGAGGCCTTAAGAAGATGAAGAAGTACTTTCTGCTTTAGACAGAACAGGACAATTTATGGGCTGAATATATGAGAATATAGAGTCATAGAGTGATGGATATTATGTGGTGGGGCAAGGTAAAAGAGTATCTCCCTCTCTTACCTGCCTGATTCAAGGATGAAGAAGACACTAAAGTGATTGCCGTACACAAGGCTGTGCTTCTTTCATTGAGACATTGCCTATTCTAAACAGACACAAACTTTAGAATTTGTATCTCATATATATATATAATTTTAAGCAAAAATGCAATAAATACTTCTATTTGTAAAACATCATGCTGGGCATACTAGGTCCTGAGGGGTTTCAAAACATGAATAAAAAGTAGAAGAAATGTACAAATGGCTACAAATGATAGCCAGGAACAATCAAGGGGGTGATAGAAGAAATATATTGAATGTGGGCCTGGTGTGGACCTAGCCAGACTTGGAGTTCCATTTGTAGTGATGATATGGGCTACTTAGCTCAAGGCAAGAGCCGGGAAAAATGTCACAGAGAATGTGTTTTAAATGATGTGCTTCTGATGTGGTTGGGGTTAGAAGTGCCACTCAGATGTGCAGAAGTAAAAGCAGCTTAGAGAGAATAGATACTTTTAATTCTTGGTACAACTTTAAAAAGTGATAGATGTTAATCATTTTTTTGCTAAGTTATTCCTAGTACTTACACTGTTTTATTGAGGGGAGTATTACAACTATCTACCAAAATGTGTTTGTTTTAGATACTTATATTCTCACAGGTACTGATGTTAATATAAATTATCAAGAATGATAATAATTGGGTTTATCTAAAAACAAGAGTTGTCAAGCTATCAGCAATCCTGGTGGGATTATTATTCTTATTTATATCAAATTCCTTTCTTAATCATTCAGATTGTCCATTCTGGAAGTCCTTCCTCTTGACATGAACTTCCTTTTCCCTCTTTGAGAGTGTTGTTTGCATCTCTGGACCAAGGGCTTCTTCCTAGGTTCTACCTAGGTCATGACTCTGAGTCTGGTTGCTTTATCTTCCTTTCTTCATCTCAGTCATTAAAATCAAAGCCTTGATCCCTCAGCTGGAATCCAGATCTAGCATAAAATTATTCCTGTTGACTTTTCCTGCCTTACCTACCGTCATTCCTTCACATATTTTTGGTGGTCATCTAGGATCTTCTACTCTTGGAAAATGTCTTCCACTTGTTTGGGGTATTTTTATAGTGGATCCTTACATTTTTCACGTGTTCCAAATCAGTCAGTCAGCTGCAGCTTCTCCACACATCCAGCTGGTTCTTCTTTCTCTGTCCCAGCACATATCTGCTCTTGCCTGTTGACCTCCCAGCCTCCTGGAAAAGCCCCACTGTAGCCTTGACCATCACGAAAGCACAATATTGTCACCCTTTGGAATGCTTCCAACATTTCTATTCTTCCAGTCCTTAAATGGTGCTGGAGTTTTGCAGGCTAGGAAGCAGGGGAACAGGTCAGACTGTCTCCTCAAGCCTCCTAAAACACTTTCGTACTGCACACGCCCCAGCCTCTGCCAAACAATAATTTTAAACTCACAAACAGCTTTATCAGCTTCTGCCTTTAAGATTCTGTATTAGTTTCCTAGGGTTGCCAACAAGTCAACATAATCTTGGCTTAAAACAAACATAGTTTGGAGACCAAAATCACAGTGGTGACAGGGCTGCATCCTCTCAAAAGGCTCCATTCTCTGCTCCTCCAGCTTCTGGTGGCTCCACATGTTCCTTGCCTTGTGGCTACATCACTTTCATATCTGCTTCAGTGGTCTCACAGCCTTCTGGTCTTCTAGATGTGACTCTTCTCTGTTTCTTTCTTTTATAAGGACATTTGTCACTGGATTTAGAGCCCAGGTATATAATTCAGGATAATCCTACCTGAAGATTCTTAACACTTACAACCTTAAACTTAACTTAAAGGGTCTGGCAAGCCTTTTCTTTCTTTTTTTTTAATACAAGATGACATTTACAGGTTCTGGTGATTTGAACATGGACATATTTTTGGGTGGAGAAAGGCACCATTTAACCTAAGACAGCCTGTTTTCTATGAGGGGTCAAAATCATTGAAAAGTGTCCAGCAAAGAAGGGCTACCTTACTCAGCATCATCACACAAGCTCTATTCTCCCTTCACTCCATAAACAGCCCTTCACAAACCAAAACTTCACTTTACTTCTTTAAACTACCTAGGAAAATATTTTTATGCATTTCAATTAAAACAAACAGGTTCTGATTTGGTGTGAGGGAGGAGTGAAAGAGATAAGAGATAAAGAGGTAGAAATCCTTAAAAAATCTTAATAAAATAGAGAGGAAGGTAAAGGGAAACATTATATTAGAAAGTCAAAAATATATGTCAAATCTACAGAAGAAATCCATAACAAAATAAGAAACTAAATGGCAAAAGTAGTGTATAGCAGTGTTAAAATTATGGCAGGGTGAGATGGGACAGTCTGAGCCATGTGAGAATTTGTCCAAAAGTAGAAACTAGATGCTGGGGTGCCTAGCATTTATTGTGTTGATGGATACATCATCTTTAACCATTACATATTCTTGGTCTACATTGCCAAATAAAACTTCCCTAAATGATAAGATATTGAGTCATATACAAGCCTACAAGTACAGGTATTTACATGAGCAGATTGATTATTAAAAATATATGTGGAAATATTTGAGAAAAGCTTAAAATAACACCCAGACCTTCCTTGGTTGTATGTTTTATCATAACTCAATTAAATAAGCAATCTGGGATCATATTCCACCCATAATTTATCATCTCCCATTAGTACCTAGTAACATGAATTCTGAGGGATACCTAAAATCTTAATAAATTATTATAACATTAATTTTCACTGGTCCAAATTATTTGAGTATAAATCAACAAAACCAAGTAAAAATTATATAAACAGTAACCTTTTCTATCCTAGTTATAAATTATTTGCTAGCCATAGACTATAACAGTGGCAATCCATAACATTTTTCTGCTCCAATTGTACCCTTATGTCAGGAAATCTTTTTAGATTCTACCTTCAGGCTATAGCTTCTTGCTATTCAAGGTGCAGTTCATGGACTAGCAGCAAGCCTGACGGCTTGTTAGACATGCAGAATTGTAGTCACCCCACCTTGAACTTGCCTATGTATGTGATTCATATGCATAACACTGTAAGTTTATTATTTACTAAACCTCTTATCTTACTCACTTGAACTTAACATTTTGTCATTCCCAGTTATAGTTTTTATTTCAACTCAGTGTAATATATACCATTCTCCCGGAAATAGTAAAATAAAAATGTGAAGTTATAAAAGTGATGTTAATCAACCTATATTCTCTGTTTAATGTTTATTTAGATCCCCCAATTATTGAAGGAAATATGGAGGCAGCAAGAGCAGTGGACTTAATTCCATGGATGGAGTATGAATTCCGTGTGGTGGCAACCAATACATTGGGTAGAGGAGAGCCCAGTATACCATCTAACAAAATTAAAACAGATGGTGCTGGTATGTATATAAAAGAAACCTGAAATTTTAAAAGATTTGTAAATACAGTGCGACTTCAATATATGGTTGAATGTATTTGAAAAGAATGCTCTGAGGTAAGTAATTCATCAAAAAAGCATGTATGTGTATTTCACGTGTGTATTCTCTATCAAGACATGCCACAAATCAAAAGAGGAAATGTGAAGTTTAAGAATGTTTTACATAATTAATGTAGAGAAAGAGGTAAATAGGAACTACTGAAAACGCCACTGAGACTGTTGAAATGAGGTATTTAGACTATAAACTTTAATGTAAATTCTGAATCTTAACTAGGCAGACTCTTGCTTGATTAAACAGGTTTCATGATTTAGAAGGCTCATAATTTTACGTGTTTCTCGAAGTCATTTATAACTGAGCGGCCAAGTAAGTGTCTATTTTATGGTAAATACCAACTGCAATTAAATAGCCTTTAGTGCAGGAAATACTCTATTCTTTTTTTCCTTCTCCCCTCTATTACTAAGGAAAAATGTTATTCTGATTCTAATGATAGCACTTGTTTTATTATTCCCTGTATCAAAAAGAAAATGTAGCCTCTCTGAGCTCATTTGACGAGGCCTTGCCAAGCTTCAGTGTTTTAGATGGTGTAGAGAAGACTTTAAATGAATGACAGAATTCCATTAAAATTGTACTGTGATCTCTTAATATCACTTCTCTACATTCCTGCTTACCTCAGGTCCTTGGCCTAACTTCTAAATATAATGATTAGTTCTAATGTCTTTATTTTTAAAAGCCAAGTAATGCACAGGAACTGCCACAAGTAAACTATCTCTTAGTTTCATGCAATTTAATGTAATTCATTAGATAAAAATAATTCTGAAATTAAAGGGCAAAAGCACTAAAATACCTTGTCTGTAGTCAGTATTTTACATGTATTTCATTTAATCCTCATAATAACATTTTGACATGTAGTCCTATGCTCATGTTCACTAATGGGCAATAGACTCAAACACTAAATAATCTAAGTCAATACGATTAATTGCAAGATTCAGAATTCAAAGCCAGATCTGACAGCTGTTCCCACACACTGAGCTTTCTCTCTTAAAGTTGGCTTCTCAAGCAGGACTCCAGAAACATATTTATATGAATCTTTATTAGAGTTCTAATAGAAACTTAGATTTCATCCTTAACTATTATAGTAGATATTACCTAAACATTAAATTTTTTGTTTTAGCATATCCACCTTCAAAATGAACACTAGTGTTTGCTTTTCTCTACCTAATAGAAATTTCATCATGATGTGTAGGTAATCTAAGGTGAAGCTTTATAGGAGACAGATACCACATAGCCAGGATTTCTCTGTTTGGTTTTTATTATTATTCCCTAGAGCTGCCTATGTTTGTAATAGAGGCTTCTGTATTATAGACTGAACACTGTTGCTCTTTCTTTAAAACGAAAAATAAAAAACTGGGGCATATTCTGAATATAACTTATACTTAAAATCATATCTGGAAATGACGTGCTCACTACAAGTGGTTTGCATGTGACTTTGAAGAATATTTACCTTGATGTCTTCTTATCCTTAAATGTTAGGAAAAAATGGTTTTCAAGTAATATTAAACCTAAAATGTTGTCACAGTTGTTACTTGAAACCAACTTATTTTTGTCATCACCTTCACCTCTTACATTTTCTCAAATGCTATTTTGATAAGGACTGAGTTCACTGTCTGGTGTGCTTACAAAATAACTTTCTTTACAAGCTAACAGAGCCAAGGCTAAAAGCAAACACACCTATTGACTGAATAAGATACAACCTTGTAGCGATATGAGTTAACAACTCTCTAAGAGATGCCAGCATATGTTATGTGGGACAAAGGTTGGTCCCCAGCCTCATTATGCTGACTGAAAGACAAGACATTATCCAATGCCACACATGCCCTAATCTGTTCAATTACTTGATGTTAAGATCTCAGTGCACAGTTGGGTACATTCTTTGGATTCAGACAAGTGCATCATAAAATGGATGCTCCCAAATGAAAAATTAGAAGATGTATTTGTAATTCATTTTAACCCATTTAATTTTGACTGTAGAAAAGAGATAACGAAAGCATCCTTTGAAATGATGTGTCATTGTAAGACATGCCCCCTTAGCTAATAGCTCTGCAGGTGCAGTTGGTGAGTCCATATCCTAAAAATGTACATTCAGGTTTAACATCTTTGTTAGTTAGCCAGACCAAGCCAGTTTAAAAAAGTAAAAAGAAAAAAGAATAAAACCAGAAACAACATGTTCATATTACATATAAAACCTCAATTTCATGCCTTATGAAGTTCGGTCATTCTTTCATTTAGTATTCTTTCTTGTTCTTCTTTCTTCTTCTTTTTTACACATATTTGATAAAGGAGAAGAATAGAACTAAGAAGCTATTTTAAGCTGGTAAGGTACTATGTGATGTTAGTTGCTGTCATTAATAATTAAATAAATCATTTTTAAAAGCAGCAAAGAGGATAGATTTTTAAGCCATCAGAAGACCTGAATTAAAGATGGCAGCTTTTCTGTATGTGAACAGTGTAACCTGGGCAAGTTAGTTAATTTATTCAGGACTCATTTGCCTTTACTATTAAGTGGGGATAATGCCATTTCTCCATGTAACTACTTCAAAGTGCTGATCTGGTTATCCAACTAGATGTAGTATATGAAAATAACTTCTAAGTTCTAGATATATCTATTATTAAGCTAGATCATTCATTCAGCAAATTTTTTGAATTAGGGAGATTTAACACATTGAATTAAAACTAGCAGTACATGTTTATTTTTTGCCACTATAAAAAGTCATATCCAGACTGGGCACGGTGGTGTCTTGGGTGTATACATGTTTAATATAGTTAAATTTTCTTGTTAAATTGAACCCTTTGCCATTATGCAATGCGTTTGTCTTTTTTGATCTTTATTGGTTTAAAGTCTGTTTTATCAGAAACTAGGATTGCAACCCCTGCTCCTCTCTGTTTTCCATTTGCTTGGTGGATTTTTCCTCATCTTTTATATTGAGGCTATGAGTGTCATTGCATGTGAGATGGATCTCTTGAAGACAACATAAAATTGGGTCTTGGTTCTTATTTCAGCTTGCCACTCTGTGTGTTTTAATTGGGGCATTTAGCACATTTACTTTAAGGTTACTGTTGTTATATGTGGATTTTATACTGTTATCATGTTAGCCAGTTATTTTGCAGACTTGTTTATGTGGTTGATTTATAGTGTCCCTGGTCTCTGTAATTCAGTGTGTTTTTGTGGTGGCTGGTAATAGTCTTTCTTTTCCATATATAGTGCTTCCTTCAGGAGCTCTTATAAGGCAGTTCTGGTGGTAATAAATTTCTTCAGTCGTTTCTTATCTGAAAAGGATCTTATTTCTCTATGGCTTATGAAGCTTAGTTTGGCTGGATATGGAATTCTGGGTTGGAATTTCTTTTCTGTAAGAATGTTGAATGTTGGCTCCAAATCTCTTCTGGCTTATAGGGCTTCTGGTGAAAGGTCCATTGTTAGTCTAATTGGCCTCCTTTGTAGTTGACATGACCTTTCTCTCTAGCTGCCTTTAGCATTTTTCTTTCATTTCAACCTTAAAAAAATCTGATGATTATCGGTCTTTGGGATGATCTTCTTGTGAAGTATATTACTGTGGTTCTCTGCATTTCCTGAGTTTGAATGTTGCCATGTCTAGTCAGGTTGGGGAAGTTCTCCTGGTTGATATCCTGAAATGTATTTTCCAAGTTGGTTCCATTCTCCGCATCTCTTTCAGGAGCACCAATGAGTTGCAGATTCAGCTCTTTATATAATCCCATATTTCTTGGCTTTTTTTTCCATTTTTTAAATTATATCAGTTCCTTCATTTTTTTATAATTAATTATTTTTAGCTTCCTTACTTTGGGTTACATGGTACTCCATTAGATCAATAATCTTCATTTCTGTGCATATTTTGAATTCTATTTCTGTCAATCCAGCTACTCTGAGCCCAGTTCAGAGCCTTTGCTGGAGAGGTGATTCCATCATTTGGAGGAAAGAAGGCACTCTGGAGTTTTCAATTTTAAACATTTGCAGAGGATTCCTTCTAATCTTTGGGGGCTTATCTGCCTTCAATCTTTGAAACTAATGACCTTTGCTTTTTTTTCTCTTTTATCCTATTTGATGACTTTGAGAGTTTGATTGTGGTATAAGGTAGATTCAGCCAACTGACTTCATTTCTACAATATTTTATGGGGCCAGCATTCAGCTCCCAATTCCAGGACTGCATGCTATAACTCTGGGGACTTGTACTGGGCCCCCACTTTGTCTTCTGTCTCCTAAAAGTTTGGCATCCACTTCACTGGACAGGAAGGCTGAGCTGTGGCAGCTGTAACAGAGTGCTGGCAAGTGCTTGGGTGTCTGCCTCCCTGCAGGTGTTCACCGCAGTGGCAGAGGCAACATAGCTGAGAAGGGGGTGAGAGCAGAGGACCCCTGGTGGAACTGTGTGTGGCCACGCTGGAAGTGGTATTGACTAAAGGGCTGGGTGCTGGTGGGCAAGGTCTGGGTGCCTTCTCTGTGTCCCCCAAGCAGGAGTAATCCACCATATACTTCTATAGATAAAAGGAAAAGCATGTAGTTTTGTTTCTGTGCAATTAATGTACATAATTCACCAAGACTTTGCATGGCTAACATCAGAAGTTTTAATGTAGGTATTTTTAAATCACAATTATTAGGAGCTACAATTCAGTAAACAGATATCTTGCTGTAAGCACTCTAAGGAAGGTATGGCTATTCCACAATGGGAGGAGATTTGGGGACTAACATTTCATCTCTTTTAAATGTTTAACAGATTTGGGGATTATATTTCAGACTGAGTCAAAGCATTTGTGTGGGAAAGGTACGTCCTCTATAGAAATATGAACTTCATCCACATGGCTGGATAGCTGGGTGGTGCCCAGACTGCAGGAACAAACAATGAATGCTTTATTCTTCTGTACAAGATCGGTTAGGTGCTAAGTATACAAAAATC